ATAGAGTTCAATGGACTTAACTGAAAACAAAATGCTACTCACTCTGTCTCATTGTGTAACTATCTTCTTTGAGAAATATCCCTTTATATGGAGCAACGCTGCTAAAGTAGAAACTGAAAAGGCATGAGAAAATTCCCCCTCAGTGTTTTTATCAGATATTTATGGCATTATTCTTCATCATTAGCTAAACAGAAAGAATCAACCTTTTTTCTTTGTAAAAAAAAAAAAAAGTGACAAAGCACAAGATAAGAGAAATGCTGATATCAATAGTTTGTCCATTACAGGTCAGCTGACTGTCCTGCTGAACAGTTACAAAGCTGTTGCTTTTCGATCCCTCCCCGCCGATCAATACGGAGGCATACTGTTTCAATTTTGCCCACATCGATTTTCTCTGCAACGCTCCGACCCGAACGCATTCGTCTCTCTGAAGGAAGGAAGATTTGATTTACTGAAGAAAAATTGGAGTGCACATCACAAAGATTTTTTGCCAGGCAGGAGTGTGACACGCCAAAAGATGGATGTGCCTTGGCTGGGAAGCCTCTAGCCTAAAGGTGTCCATTAGAGCAGCACGGGGGCAGAAAATGAGCTGCGTACCCGAGGAAGGAAGGAAGGAGGCGCGGAGGGAGACCAGAAGGTGGAACAAACTGGAAATAAGGAGGCTGCTGGTGTCTGCAACCTGAATTATGTTTCCATAAAGGCGTAAAGCTACTGCAGGAATAACACCGCCGTTACCATCACATCACACTCCCCAATTTCTCCATGCAAAGCCGGCTTCTGCGGCACGTTAGCCGCCCCATTAGGAAGCAATAAAGAGGCGATGTGAGAAGAGGAAGAAAGACGAGAGCAGAGCGTGTCTGCTGGGACCGAGTTGGCGTGCTCCATCATCTGCCCTCATCTCCTTTCTCTGTCTGTCAACTTTGTCCAGGTGTCATGTACATGAGATGATTCCTGACCCAAATAAACACTGCAGCCGGCGGCGTCCTCAGAGGACCGGAGCCCCGAGCGGGAGGAAGGGGGAGAATGTTGGAGTGAAAATGAAATATCTGCCAGTTGTTACGTGTGCGTGCGTGTGCGTGCGTGCGTGTATGTGTGTGTGGCTGTTCAAGTGTTGTTTGCTGGCCGTTTCTTTTTCCTGGGTTTGGTGATGAGATAGAAAAAGTCCTGTGTCTTGATAGAATATTCATTTTTGTCATTTTTCTATTTTATCGGGAATTTGTGCAACAGCAGCTGTGTTTTCATTACAAACATCCGCAAAACTTTTTTTTGATGATCTACTGATGTAAAAAAAAAGCACCCACAATTTCGCAATTGCAGCATTTCAGTTAAATAAGAAAAGCAATTAAAATCACATGTGCTACACCCAGACATGCTAAATGTCCTGCATCATCATCCTATGACTACTTCCTGTTGTCTTCTATAGGGTTTGCGCCAGTTGCAACATCCAGTTGTTGATCATGTGACCCATCTGATGTAAAAAGAGTGTTTCCATTGAAAATTTGTGGAAAAAACCAATTTTTATTCGGGTGGGGGAAAAAAAAAAAAAAAAAAACACCTCTGCCTACTTTTTACTGAAAAGCAAGTTTTTTTTCAAAACGGTCCTGTTTCCATTAAACAAATTTAAATTGCACATGTATATGGTCAATACGCTAATGCAGCATTGTTAATGAAAAGGATTCACGGTTATATTATTAACTACAAATACAAATCTGAAAAGTGTGGCATGCATTTGTTTTCAGGCCAAAAGTAAAATCCAGTCGACGAGCAGCAGAAGGTGAAGCGAAACGACGACTTCAGGCCTGCAGAGTCAGAAAACTCCTAGAATGATTCGAGTACCTTGATTATTAAAATTTCTCGAGTAAAATTTATCTGCCTCGAAGCTTCGTTAAATTATGTTTTATTATGTAGCGCATCGTGTTCTGCCTGGATCATTATTTGTGGTGGGCAGCGCCCTTCCTTGTGAAGCGCTAGCAGCATGGTGTTGAATTGTGCAGCGTTTTGTCAGGGCTTGGGGGACAAATAAGGATTGTTGAAATTTAAAGTCACATGGGAATAAGTTTGTTCACACTATAATTAATTCAAAAACGTGTTGTACCATAACCCTGCTACTACTTCCTGTCATTTTCTTCACCTTTTCTAACAGTAGTAAAATCCGGTTGTTGATCATGCGACACGTGATGCAAAAAAGTGTTTCCACTACAGTTTTTCAAAATACACACATTTCAATAAAGCTGAAAAACCTCATCCCAGCACAAAGACGTTTTGTCGAAAAGTTTTTCTTCAAAATTAAGCCATTAAGCCAATTTATTTCCACAATTCCAATTTGTGCAATTATATGCTCAACTAGTGATGCCTTTGTTGTGGATCTGTCAGTGTTTTGGGAAGAGGTGAAACCAAACAAAGCATCAAAATGACGGGAATAAAGAAAATCCAACAATGAAACAGAAGCAGATAGAGAGGCAAAGTCTAAACGACAAGAAGGGAAGGAAAATGACTGGCTTGTTGTGACAGAGGATAAAGAAAGAGAGAACTGCAGACAAGCAGCGAACGGCCGTCCAAAGGAGAACAAAAAAAAAGAAAGAAAAAAATCACCAAACACCTCTGTTCTCCAGAGAACCAAGCCCCGCTAAGCTGGATATGATGAACACACCAATTGCGTTCAGGCAGGTCACACACTGTGTCAGAAGATATTAGATGCCTGCCGTGAGCTAAACAACAATTCCCATCAGCCAGGAAAATAATATTTTCATTTTCGGATTCTTTATTAAACGGAAACTTTGGGGAATACATTTTTACGGCGCGAAGCGGAGGAGGGGGAGGCTTTACGCCTCGGCTGCGAAAGGACACCATCATGTTGCCTTGCATGTGTTGGTGCTTTTCAATTTCACAGCTGGGAAGAAGCTGTGTGTGTTTCTTTGTGTGGATCTGAAGGTGCAGATGTTGCATTAGAGCGAATGAATTCCTGCAATGCCTGCAGGTATCCAGGTGTGGAGAGCTGGTTTCCCTATAACCCATTCTTAGTTTGTGTTTGTTGCGTTTGCAGCACCAGATGTTTCTCTTGCGTCTGCATACCACAAGCTTTTATAGTGCAAAGCTGCACCCACCTGACCTTCACAGTAATTGACCAAAAATATTGATGTAATGGCACAGGACTGATTGTGATTTATTAAAAGAGGGCTGCGCTCCGAGGCCCAGTGCCAGTGGCTCCCTGCACCTATCGGCAGCCATTAGGAAAGCCATCAATAGCGCGGCGGCAGCGGCGGCTCGTAGAACACAATATCCATACTAAATGGAAGCGTGTTATGTGAGCATACATGAAGAAACGGAGAGAAAGCAAAGACAAAGGGAGATCCAGTCAAGAAGGAAAGCACTGGATGGACAGCTCACCGCGGACCGCTACAGGAGGAAAAAAAAATAAGATAAAGAAAAAAAAGAAAAGCAAAAGGCGGTCACAGATAGTCTTCCTGCTCCGACGGCAAGCTAAGCCCCGCCAGACGAGTCTCTGGAGACTCGGCTCGGCCTAACAAGCATGAGCCAGCAGCCGTCTGCAGCTCAGCCATTACACACTACCTGCACAAACAGCCATCATTAGGGAATAGCTGCATTGGATTCTGCTGCCCATTTGGCCAAACAAACAGCGGATAAGGTTCCCTCTGTTCTTAATGGGAGCCCGCCTTGTTCACATGGCTTTTCATGTCTCTCTCAGGCCAATGCATCATTCAGCGCGCGGGCCGACAGCTGGTTCACCTTTAATAATTTCGGGGGTTTTTTAAAAAAAAAAAAAAAAAAAAAAAAAAAAAGCTGCGACTGTTGAAGGTATATGTGGGAAACGGTGGAAGATTTTATTGTATGAAACAAAATGAAAACAGGTGCAGTTTTTTGTTTTCTTCCCAAATGATTATTTTTAAGGAGGTTTTATGTACGATACTTTTTTGTTGCTATTGGCTCCTCAGAGCCAGAAAACATCATTTTAAACAAACCTTTTGGAAACACAGCAACAGTTTTAAGTTTGACTGGTAAAACGGGACATTAAAGGGGCGGTGCTAGGTGTTTTCTATTTAGAGCACAATCAAGTAACTATGTTAACTTCAATTGCTATAAAAGTTCCCAGTATTTTTTTATTATTATTTTACGTAGGTTTGCAACTAAAGATTATTTTAGTCATCGCTTATTCTGATGATTAATCGCTTAATCAAATACAGAATAGTGGTATATATGCTGAAGATTTTTCATTTAAACCTTTCTATACAACATTAATAGATGCAAATAAACAAATAATTAAAATCATTTTACAAGTAAGAAGATAAACATTTTATTGCCTTGGATGCCATGACAGCATTCCTTTAGTGAACTTCTGATCATTCATAGCAAAGGATTCATCATCAGCGAAACAAATACTTCTATCATCAACATGTGAAAAGCTCAGCCTGTCTGCTGGATCAATGCAGCATAAGGCTGATCTGATGATTATTTTTTGATTCACTGATTAATAAATGATTAGCAAAAGATGCTACAGAATTTGTAAGCATGAATCTAAACTTTTTTCACCTGAAGAGCTTTGGCAGAACAAATTAACAGATCAACGTTTTCCTCATCTTAAATATAAATTGTACATATTTTTCTTCAGTTTTGGCTTAGTTACTGCTCTGACTATGTTGTTCCTTCAGCAATTGACCTTATTTTGAGTCTGTATAATCCAGTTAACAATTAATTGATTACCACATTAGTTAATGATTATTTCATTAATCAATTTGACACGATTAATCACTTTGGCTGTACTTTTGGCATTTCAGGCCCAATATAGAACTTTTTTCAATATTATCACAGATACAGATATTAATATTTGATCAGTGTATCTATGGTCCCCCACAGAGTTGAAAAGAAAAGGATGTGAAAATGAAAAGACAAGCCCTTTAAATCCTCCTTCCAGATGGGGGCCTTATGGCAGCAGCAGAATGTGTTTCTTTTTTAATGTCGGGTTATTGTTCCAGTTTCGCTCTTACCTGACTGACGAACTTCCCCAGGCTCCGTGTTTGTCAGTCAGAATGTTGACGATCTTCTGGATGAGCTGAGTGGAGGTCATGTGGTCGCGGAACTTGGCGGCTCTGATCAAGTGGTCGCACATTTTCTCCTCATCTCGCTTCTCTGCTGCGTACTGGGCGCAGTTCGACTGCAAGGGAAGGGAAAAACAAATCATAGAGCAAATTAAGTCATATTTTGCCCAAATTTTTCAAAGGAATGCCCTTTCTTAGCGTTCTAAAATATAAAATCTGTAGCTACACACACAGGTGCAGACCAGAGTAGAGATATGAGACTCGCAGGGTCTCTTCTGAATAAACGGAAAGCATGCGGGTCATTTCTTCCCTTGTGTCATGTTGATTAATAACAGTGGACATGCATTTTCTAATGCCCTCCAGCACACGGTACCACAGAACACAGGGTGGCCATTTTTCTCTGTCAGAATACGTTATCAGAACAAGCCTTTGAACTCTGCAGCAACACCTCCTGAAATGAATAGCTATCATCTTATAAACAAACTCACAACTACTTCAGAGACAGTTTTTTAGCCTCCTATTCATCCAGTGCTTGTGGCTGACCCAAAGCTCCACCCAGTCATACTGTGTTCGCATTTTACATTTTCTTATGAGAAATCTGACCAAAGAACCCTGAACAGCCATTTAACCCTTACTGTAGTGCTATTTTGTGTCTCTGCCTTCATCAGAATAACTTTAAAGGGGTGGTATTATGTATTTTCCAGGCACATAGTGCCACCTGATAGCACAATCAAGTAACTATGTTACCTTCAGTTATAAAAATGCTGTAAATATCAAATACAACAAAAGAAATCTGACTTTGCAATTTAACACCTTGAAATTGGACCTCTGCCTCTTTAAGAAGCTCCTGCTCTTTCTGAAACTCCGCCTTCAGGAAGTCATCACAACATGGCTCCTCTATTAACCCCTAATAAAGTTTTTACCTGCGTTTCACTAAGAAGTAGCTCCTATAATGAGCTCAGTTCCACCAGGTGTTTGCTAATTGCTGCTGGCTAGTCTGAAGGAGCTGAGTGGGGGAGTAGCAGCAGAGGGGTGAATGATTGCCATGGAAAATTAAAGGATTTCTAAAACATGCATGAAAGCATTAAAGAATAACTCCAGGTATGTTTTTGATGATTGGATAATGTAACACAATGTAAAGCTGAAAAAGTCAATTTTACAAAACACTGCCCCTTTAAGATGTTTGCTTTCCTGGCAGCGATACAGCATCTAGAAATGAAGAAGCACAGCTGAGGAGAACATCCCATACTTAAAAAAAAAAAAAAAAACTCAGTAAATCATTTTATAATAGGCCCTTCTCTTCCATTTTAGAGCCAACATTTCAGATCTGACAGGAAATCCATAGGCATAAATCACATTACAGGGGGCTGCTTTAGAGGCTGTGTGCCTTTAATTATCAATCTATGTCTCTTTACGTGACATTAAAGTGGGTCCTGACCTTCCGGCGTGATGAACTGGGAAACGGCTAAATGAGCAGCGTACAGGAGGAAGACGATGGAGCGAGCGCTTGGAACTTTAAACATGAGGCTGTGTGTGTTTGGTGCTGCCGGGTTCCTACATATTTGTCATTTATTACAGACTTTTTAAATTGTACTCGGTGTTAATAATGAAGTTTTGTGTATGTTTACTGCAGATGATTCTAGAGAACAAAGAACCTCCCACAAACCATCACTTGGAACGGACGGACAATGGAAGAAAAGTCTGTCAATTACATTTCAGCAGCACGTTATAATAACGTAGAAATGAACACATTTATAAATGTCTTACCCACAATGACTAAAACCAACATCTGAGTGTTTATTCCTGATTGCAAATGTTCAAATGAATGTACTAACATATACACACATTATGTAGAATAGTTTTGGGCATATTTAGTTATTATGAACTGTATGAGTAATGTATGATGTGCTTTTTGATGTGTATTTATTATTAGTATATTAAAAATGGATGAGATTGTATCCAGGCTCCGTCTATAAGCTTTAAATATCTTCATCTGAGACCTGATTCTCGCTCCACTATGGGGATGTCAAACTCATTTTTGTTTTGGGCCAAAACAAGATCCTGAATGTTCTTAAAGGGCCGGTGGTGCAGGAATGTATCGATAAAACCCGTTAACAACCTATTAAAATATTAGCAAACAGCTGTCTTTGCATTTTAAGTAGTTCTTAAAATTAAACATTTTCACTTTGTTCAGTTCCTCTAGGAACTTATTTTTTATTTCTTTTGGGCAACAAACCCACAAACCTTTTGGAGCTAATTTAGAAATATTTTCAATATTTACATTTAAATATGACGTTAAGTGCTACTTTGTTAACTGGCACATCGATTACGGACCAACCAATACCTTGACATCAAATAAGGCTGAGGCAGCGGAGCTGTAAAATACAAAACACTGTCCCCTACAGGAGGCAGTTAGTGGTCCATTAAACCCAATGGTTTTTGACCATTTTTGTGGAAAAGTTGCAGTTATGTAGTAGTGAGGAAAAAAAAAAACATGGGAATCTGTTGATTTATACATGAGTTTCAACAATCACAGGAAACTGGGAGGACTGGCTGATATAATTTGGAACCTGGAGTCTTGAGGGTCACACAAAAAGCTACGGTGGGCCAGATTTGGCCCCCAGGCCTCGAGTTTGACACGTACTCCATTATCTTGCAGTTATGATCTGTGTTAAGTGTGGTAAGACGACGTGCTCGTAACTTGATTATGGAACTTATTAAATTGAGGGAACAGAATCTGTATTTTTATGGGAAAAGCATTAATAAATGTGTTAGTTTAAATCATCCTTAATTGATGTTTTCAAGGTTAATTATTAATGGTTAAATTAGGCTAAATAAGGTATAGTTATAATAAAGTGCTTCCTATATTTCCATGCTGCTTTAAGACTTTCCCAGATCTGGAAGATCCTTGCATCAAATTCCAGACTGAGAACAGCAGAAAAAATATTCCAGTATCACAACAGACCACGCAGTTGAAAACAAGCAGCTATGACTGATCGGGTTTCATAACACTGATGCAAATTCATCCGGAGACCTGAAGCAGAGTCCATTTCCATCTGTGGCTGCCTGAAACATGCAAGGTCTGCAGCACTAATCAACGGTGCCGGGTTCAAACTCATAACCATAAACAAACACTTCATCACCTGCCCAAACAGCCAAGCCCTCCACGCCGTAATGAGCTTCGGTCATATCCAAAAGCCAGAGTCAACCACGGGACAAAAAACGCCAAATCCAGAAGACGGCGGCCTAAAACAACAACCAGAGAAGCTGAATGTATGAGCCGTGCCATTAAAACGCTAAGCTGGGTTTCCTCTGTAAGTGGAAAGGACAAGTCAGCATTGCTGCCAGGGGTCACTCCGTTGATGTGGGTTTAATGAAGGACTTATTGTGTCATGTTAATATGAAAGATGTAATAAAACACAAAATACTTGATGCTGCGTTCTCCTCTACTAAAGGCTCACTAAATTAATAACCCAGTGTAAAATATATTTTTTTGTGTGTGTGATTGGGCTTTTAAACGGAACTGGTCATTTAATTGTTGGAACGCTGTGCAAAGTAGAAATAGTTAGAAACTCGCCATAAGTAATAAAGCAATTAGTCACATGATGAATGAAAACAGGCTCAGACTCTCTCAGTTCAATAGTGATTTAATTGGGGCCTTAATATACATTTAGCAATATATTATTTGTATAATATTTATTCAAAATATTTTGGTATTTTGTGTTTTATTTTATCGTTTACCTGCATGTCTAACACTGTACAGTATTTATAGTCACAAAGTTTTTCAGCATTTTTTGTGTGTACTCCGGTTGCCAAGCAATGACATTTTGCTGTCAGATTCACTCTTGTGTCTTTGTGCAATGACAGAAAAGAAAGTCTAAAACAAGCAAGATAATTTCATTTTGCATAATTTTGTTTTTCTTACCTTTTTTTTTAAATACTGGATGACAAAAATCTTCAGTCTAATGCATCGGCCTCAACCAGCTGCTTTTGTTGAGGGACAATGTTGCTTACAAACTACAGTTTACATTTATTTGTTGTTTCTGTTCTTCATATATTTTGGATATCTAAAATGTCTTCTAGTTATAGTGAGAAATGTTCGTTAGAAATTAAAGGATAATGATCTTAAAATATGAGGATATTCATGCATTATTCTGCCATTACCAATATATTCATCGGAAATGGTCTCAAACCAACAATATTGTCATTTATCGCGATAAATTCTGCGACAAAATTTGTTATCGTGAAAAGCCTACACGTGCAATTAAATTTTATATTTACTTTTTAATAAGCTCAAAAAATATTTAGAAGTTCTCGGCACATATTTCAAAACCAAACCTAAAAATCTAAAACAAAAAAAGCTTTTAAGTTGTCCATGTTAGTCAGCTGCAGCAGAGGCGGCCGGGTGGTGGGACTCGCTCTGTCAGCTTGCTAAGCAGACAGCCACAAGGGCACAACTTGCTGGCAAGCGGGACCATTATGACTTACGACACTGTAATCACGGGCAGCACCTCCCATTACACAGCCTGGCTGACAGGGTCGTGCTGCTGCGCGGAAGCCCACTCTACTGTGGGAGACAGCTCAGTGAAGACAAAATTATAATGACTGGCATTAATCGAGTCACTTACGCCCCAGTCGCGTCTCCCACAATTCATTTGAGGTTAAAAAAAAATTAAACAAATATGTGTTGTGGAGTTTTGAAGAGGAAATGAGGTGACTGGAGAGAGGAGGGAACAATAATCATCTCAAGGATTATAGCTGCAGTATGTAAATTGTGCTCAATATTGCTTTTCACATAAATAAACCTTTATTTGTCACAATTGAAAGAGCAAAGTCAGGCGGGAGACATGAGAGCAGAGGCCAGCAGCAGACCAGGGGAATTATAGAACTGATTATAACTTGATGAGAAAAAGCTACCTGGTACAGGGAGAAACTAGACAACTATCAGGACAGGGATTTTACACACCTTTCAGAATCCCTCTCAATACTGTACTAGCTATTTTGTATAGCTAGCTAGCCTACGTGAGCTTAAGTTATATAGCTAGCTTTAGCTAACTATATAGCCTGTATAGTTAGCTTAGGCTAGGTATACAGCTAGCTTAGTATAGCTTATATT